CCCCAAAACCCCAAAACCCCAAAACCCCATGATTAATTGAAATAAGAATTCTATAAAAAATCCAGTATAAGATAAATCAATTTTCAAAAGCAAGATCTTTATGATTATATTTCATTACTCATTAAGAAATGCGAATTTCATCTTAAGATGCTTGGTTACTCTAAGTTTATCTGGCTTCCATAATTTTTGTGTTCCAACCTTCAAATTTCTCATCAGCACAATTCTTTGATCAGTTTCCTCTCTATTCTTAGCTATCATGTCTTAATCCAAGAAAGTATCTATAGTAACACTTTCTTGCAACTTATTTTGAGAAATAGCATCTTAAAGGGAGGGCAAAAGTTAATTCTTATCTTCAACTTAGGCCAATAGGCAAGTATCAATTGCTTTTATTAACTCAAGACTTTTTAGTTCCTCCTCTCTAATAATATGCTAGTCAAGGTCAGCATACTACTTAGAGAGCTTTGGAAAATCAGGCAAATCAATTTCTCTGCATTTATTAATCAAACTTTTAAATTCCAAGTTAGAGTATATATGATGCTCTGGTTTTTATTTTGATAGGCAATTATGCTTGCTATGATTCGCTCTGATTGGAGTGACTTAGATAGTCTGCTTTCTTTAATTGAAAATTGACTCTGACATTTTTGTCTGCAAGGGTTCAAATATTGAGATACTGTGAGACTATGTTTAGTTTGCTTCATGTTCTGGTTCATTTCTTTATGAGTTATTTTATTGGTTTATCATCTCCTAAAAATACTAAATTAGAAAAAATTCTTACAGATTGCTCTTTGACTTTTGTTTTATTTATGGATACGAAGTCTATTCTATTCATCTTAAATTTCTCCTCTTCCATTTTCAGTTTATCTGCAATCCTTTGATTCTAATCTTAAATGGCTTTTTGAATTTCTTCTTTTGTCAGAGGACCATGACTACTTGCACCATTCGAAGATATATTACCTTTGTTTTACAACTGCCTTTTCTTTTTTCTGTACTGTAGCTTTTATTTCCAATTCATGTGCTCTATAATACTTTTAATCAATAATACTACTTACTAATATTCATTGTAATCTATTTGCCAAAAGATCCAGAGAACTAAGTATCATTCAATTGATTATTGATCTTTTGCTTTTCATCCTCACTCTCATTATTGTTACTATACTTCATCATTTTATCTGATTCAGCTGTAATATTATTGTCTCTGACTGATCCGCCTCTGGATCTCATTTAGCTTTAATTTCTAATCATATTAGTTGCTGGTCTCATTAAATGAGATTTTGTGTGATGCTTGGTGTTGGGTCTCTAAGTATTACTCTAGTACTTATCTTCATATTCATTTATTTACTCCAACATAGAGGAGCCATTTATTTAAGGATTTAGAATGTTGATCTGTGGTTTTAGCAATGTTGTTGAATTTAATTGAGAAACTGCATTTGCTTAATATTTCTAAAGTATAGCCTCTGATTTCTGTAACAACTAGTTATTTTGTTCCTAAGTCACTGTTATATTTACTAATCTCTCTGTTTGTGGTATTTAACTAAGTACTGATTGGGATCTTGATTTGTTTTTATCTACCTTTTTCTTTGGGACTAGCACGACTCCATCAGATAATAACTGCTCATAAATTCTCCTCTCTATTAAATAAATATTAAGGTATCTTACAATGCTAGAAACTTCCAGAGATCCAATGAGGCATGAATTTTTTAAATTCTTCATCAGCTATCTTCATCAATCTCTTATTCTACTCTAAATCAAATTTCTTCCCTTCATCCACACCCTCATTTAAATTGAACTGATCTCTAAACTGATTGAAAATCTTTTTAATTGATTTAAGCACCACCTATTTATTCTTTGTAGGTGATAGAGAATGAGCCTCTGGACTAGATTTGGATTGCGTTGAATTCATCATGTTATTTTGAGAGATGCTAGCCTTATTATTATCTGAATTTACAGATTTGTTTCGACTGAATTTTTTGGCAGCAAATATGTTGAACTGTTAATATTTTAGATGATGAGGTACGATAACATCTAGCACATCAACATCACTTTCCCTTTCTAACTGCTCTTCCTGCATTTTTTACAAATGATTCTCATTCATCCCATAAGCTTCTTGTTATTGATATGAAACAATTTTACTTGGTGATTACTGATTCGGCAAGTGTACCCCTTTATAGTATTTCTTTCCTTACTTGCTTTGCAGAAATGAATTGAATTCATGATGAACAAATTTGTTTTTTCTAAGCTTAGTTCTCAAGTGACTGAGGTTTCGCTCCTCGATATTTTTTGAACTCACGTAAATGGAACGAGGTATGTTCTTTATATTATCTTCTTGCTAGTTTTATCTGACTAAAGTCACCATCATTTGTGAATCTTCTCTAGGAATAGATTCGTAATCTGATACTGATAAACCATAGTTAAAAATCGATTCATCTAAGGTTTAATTCATTCGATTATAGTCTGTAGTCATTATTGATGCATTATTAGCAAGAAAAGAGGAGGATTAAGTTTCATAATTTTTGTTAACTATTGAAAGTCTCCTTTAATTGTCAATTATATCTTTATGAGCTTGCTACTTCTTTGCTAGGAACTTATTTTGCAGCATCATCTCAACTCCATCTTTATTATCTTTTAAATTTACTAGCGCTGCAGGTTCAAACATGTATGTCTTTAGCGCTGATTAATTTTTATTTTATTAAGTTAAAATGGGATTTCTTCGAGTAAGTAATTTCCCAATTTTCTAATCCTGCTACCCATGCTTGATTAAAAAGTAGTCGGTTCTAAAGTCCTTCGGCTCAAATATAGTGTTAGGTGTATCCTCTACTATACAATTTTACTATTAATCTGCTGATTAGTCCTAAATGCTGAGATTAGAAGTGTTGTGAAAATTGTTCAATGCTTAAAGATTGATGTTCTAGTTGCTGCTAACTTTATTAATGCTTTCCTTTCTTTTGCTTAGTCGGCTATCAAAGAACCTAATAGAACTTTCATTCATACCTCCTAAACCTGAAGAATAAAACCTTAATTAATTTCTATTATTTAATTTTCCGATAATTTTAGAATTTCAATAAATAGGGGTTTTGGGGTTTTGGGGTTTTGGGG